ACATTAAAGGTAAAGGTAAAGGTTCCCTTGCTCGAAAGCCAGTCGAATCCGACTCTAGGGTTGCGGTGCTCATCTCCGTTTCAAAGCCGAAGAGCCAGCGCTGTCTGAAGACGTTTCCGCGGTCATGTGGCCGGCATGACTAAACACCAAGGCGCACGAAACGCTGTTACCTTCCCCACCAAAGTGGTCCCTATTTATCTACTTGCAATTTCTTGCTTTCAAACTGCTAAGTTGGCAGGAGCTGGAACTAGAGACGGGAGCTCACTCCGTCTTGCGGCACCCGGGTCTTGAACTGCTGAACTACTGACCTTCCACAGTCTGCAGTTCAGCGTCTTAACCACTTGAGCCACCGCAGCTCCTATGAATATAGTACCAAGTGGTAAATTGTCACAGTTCTTTTTTCTTTTTTCATAAGAAGTATATTTTGCCACACAAAATAGTCAGGTTCAGTAATAGTTGATCCCGTCTGGCAATAAATGCTTCACTGTTATGACCTCATGTGCTCAGGTGTAGCTGAGGAAGGGGGGAAGAGATGCGGGTCTGACAACCTGCAGAGGTGAGAGAGGGAAAAGAGGGGGGTGCCAGAATTCCTCCTCCCTCTCCTTTTGATCCCCCTGCCTTCTTTTATATATATTTTTTGCTACCCATGCCCAGCTGTTCGTTCACTCCCTTCCTTCCGTCGTGGCGCACCCGCCACTGCCTCTCTGGCCAGTGTTCAGTGTCTCCTCCTGAGAGCAGAGGTCTTTTAAAACTTCTAACTGCACACACACACATGCTACCTGTAGCCAAACTTTTAAAGCATTCCCTGCCAGTTATTTTTTTTCCTCCAGAGATCCAAGATTAGCAAAAATCTCTTATCGCTAGACTGAATCCGCTTGTTCAAAAAACCCAAAAATTTAAAAGATGGAAAACATAAGCATTAGTGCAGCTTGTAGAACGATGAAGGGGGGAGAACCAGTAACGTTCTGCTAAGATGGCGACCTGAGAGTAAATACAGTTTGAAGAATCTCCTATTCCAAAAAACACGCCCAGTGTGAAACTGACCAATAAGGAGTGGGAGGAAGGACTTTAATGTGGGCGACAGAGTGGCATGCGAGGGGCTGGAAAAGGGTGGGGGGGGGAATCCGAGAGGATCTGTATGCTTTTGAATTCCCTTCGGCTTGGAAGTGAAGCAAGGGTAAAAACCGCTACAAAAGCACTCTCAGAAAACCTGGGCAAACAGTGAACGGAAAGCAAACTGAGTCCTGAAGAGAGGAAAAACAATGCAGAACAAAAAAAACCCCCGACAGACAAGCACAGTGAAAGTGATGGGAATGCAGAATGATAAAGAAAACCTGAAGGACATGCATGGTGAAAGCGAGGGAAAACACCAGTGCCTAATAAGCCACAGAGTAGTTTAAATGGGCCTCAACATTTAGAAAGGCCTCCACAGAGAGCCAGCATGGTGTAGTGGTTAAAGCAGTGGACTCTAATCTGGTTTGGTTCCCCAATCCTCCTCCACATGCAGCCTGCTGGGTGACTTTGGGCCAGTCCCAGTTCTCTCAGAACTCTCTCAGCCCCACCTACCTCACAAGGTGATTGTTGTAGGGAGAGGAAGGGAAAGGCGATTATAAGCCACTTTGAGGCTCCTTAGGGTAGAGAAAAGCAGGGTATAAAAACCTACTCTTCTTCTTCACATGTTGATCTCAATTTGTAACCTTGGCCCTTAAAGCAAATGCAGCGATTGTAATTTTACAGTTCTGTAATCCACGAGAAACTTTTGGCTTTGTTGCCTTTGCTATCAGAAAACTCAAAATATGAAACCTGAAGACATTATCAATCCCTTTTTGTGTCCCCTCCTTCCCCCAAATACAGGTCCGTTGTACGGCTCCTTGCTCCGAGCCTGGCAAGCGTTCTTGGGAGCCTCCGAGCGGCTGAGCCGGCTCCACATGGAGATGCAGAGGGCGTTGGTCTCAGAGGATGCTGCACGCATCCGGTCCTGGCAGCACGATTCCTATCACCGCAAGCTGTTCGGGGGCTTCAAGGAGGCCTGTGAGCTGGAAAGCGGCTTCCAGAAGGCACAGAAACCCTGGACCAAGAAGCTGAAGAAGGTAGGAGGAACCCCTAGGAGCAGACGGGGGGGATCCTAGCAGGTCAAAGAAATTCAGGCATGGGACTCCGGACCGGGGGGGGGGGGGGCTGGGTTCTCCAGAGAGAAGGGGGGCCCCTCAATTTTAGATCACTCTCTTTTCCCTGTCACTTCATATATCTGCCTGACTTCGATTCGTCTCAGTCACTAAAAGGCTAGTTTGGGAAAGAGCAATGGAATGTGCCTGTCTGTGGCTTCCACTGATAGCAGGTTAAAAAGTCAACCCTGCCCGCACACAGGGCAGATCCGTCATGCATCCCCTTGTTACTGGTGTCTTTTTCTCTGCTGGGGGGTTTGAGACTGTAGGGCAGGGGTCCCCAACCTTTTTCAGCCTGTGGACACCCTTGGAATTGTGACACAGCATGGTGGGTGCAGGCACAAAATGGCTACTGCAGGAGGTGGAGCCAGTCGCAAAATGGCTGCCACATAGGGTTGCCAAGTGGAAAAATCTTCTTACCGGGGGACATAAGAACATAAGAGACGCCAATGTTGGATCAGGCCAAAGGCCCATCCAGTCCAACACTCTGTGTCACACAGTGGCCAGAAATACCAGTGCCATCAGGAGGTCCAGCAGTGGGGCCAGGACATTAGAAGCCCTCCCACTGTTGACCCCCCCCAAGCACGGCGGGGAACGGGCCTCTGGGGCGGGGGTTTCCCTGCCCCCCGGGGGGACTTGGCAAGCCTACTGCCACAGCTTACCTTCAGTCACACAGTGAAGATCCTTATGCTGCGGTGGCAGCTGCTGCCCAAGCAAGACTTAAAAAAATTGACATGCCAAATCCAATCTCCAAAGGCCGATCAGAAGCCTTGCTAGGCAAAAGTCCCCTACTCATCCTCAGTGTTCCCCCTAAGCTGAGTTAGTGTGAGCTAGCTCACAGCTTTTTAGCCTCCAGCTCACCGATTTTTACCTTAGCTCAGGAAGGAGGGCTCCAGAGCAAACTAATTTATGCAGCAGCTAAATCGCCCGCTCACAACTTTAACGCCAGTAGCTCACAAAGTAGAGTTTTTGCTCACAAGACTCCACAGCTTAGAGGGAGCATTGCCCATCCTGCCCTTTTTCTAAAGACACCTGGCAGGCACCAGGAAAGGTATTGGTGGACGCCACAGGCACCGTGTTGGGGACTCCTGCCATAGGGCCTGAGGGGTGTGGGAACCAGGATATACCTACGTTCTCTGGTGAAGGAATGAGCAACCCTGAGGCGTCTGCTGCTTGACTACCTGCCCCATTTTATATCCCACCCATCCCCTTCCTGCACACGCATCCAGGTCGAGAAAGCCAAATCTCTGTACCACAAGGCCTGTCGTAAAGAACACATTGCAGCGCTACGGGAGAGCGGAGTTCAGGCCTCAGGGGGGCCTGAAGTGCCCCCAGATCGGCAACGCACCCTGCGGGAAGAACATCAGCGTTGCAGCCAGGAAGCCAACAAGGTGGGTGTCCACCCGCTTTCTGTACACGTCTGGGCCACGAGAGCAATAGGGGTCTTCTGTCGGGGGTATTGCATCGCTCTGTGAATGGCCAGGCTGGCTGCCCGCTTGCAGCTCCTAATACAAAACCATTCAGTTGTGCTGTGGAGTTGTTGAGCCTGTTGCTCACTGGCACGGTTAGCCAGCCACCTTATTCCTCATAGGATTGCCAATGGACCAGAAAAGAAACACCACCTGGCTTGCTCCTGTGCTTTAGACAGCAACTTGGTCTGCAGGAATCAGCAAGGGAAGCATTTATATTTATTTAGAGCCTGCCTTTCCCCCCATTTGGGGAAATCCAAAGCATCCCAACATTTGGGGATCCAAAGCATCCCAAAGCATTGTTCTTCCCTCCTCCATTTTATCCTCACAGCAACAACCTAGGGGTGGGAGGAGAGAGAGAGAGAGAGAGAGAGAGAGAGAGAGAGAGAGAGAGAGAGTGTGTGTGTGTGTGACTGGCCCAAGGTCACCTAGCAAGCTGCCATGGCAGAGTGGGGATCTGAACCTGCGTCTCCCAGATCCGGCTCTGATGCTGTGCCCTCTATCCCATACCATCTCACAGTTTGGAGAAGAGCGTGATTCCTTGCTAGTGCAAAGATCCAGCTGATGATGAAGGCACAGGAGCTGAGCAGGCTCGTAGCTAGTGGGGCGTTTTGGGCCCTGCCCCCTTAATTAGAAGCCCCGCCCCACAAAGAGCCATGCCAGAAAACCTTATTTTTGAGGAGAGACCTCTGCTGCCTGTTTCCCAAAGGCTCATGGGAATGCTTTGGAAAGACTCACCATGACCTAGGTGGTCTATAACAGGCAGGGGTCATTTCGTAGAAAAAGAGGTGCAGGAGCTCATTAGCACAGCTCATTAGCATAACTCATTTGCATATGCCACACCCCCTGACATCACCGGCAGTGTGTCAGAAGGCAACACCCACCGCTCAGGCTCTACTGGACTGTTTTGGATTGCGGGCTATTGGGGGGGGGACATGCAGATCTGTCCTCGCAGAGGAGGGAGAGCTTGTACCTGAATAAAACTTGGTCTTAAAGGTGCCACTGGACTGTTTTGGGCCAGGGGGAGCTCTGCAACTTACCTGGCCACTTCTTGTTCTGACTTAGGGCTGCTGGGGGTGGGGCTTGTTGCATGTGCCCGCCCTCTGGACTCTTTACTGCTGGAGCTCCGCTCCTGTGCGTTCCTGCAGGAAATGACCCCTGATAACAGGACTGGGCTAGCAGAAAGGGGGATTGTTGGAGTCGTATTGTAGGTACCACTCTTGAGTGCCATGGCGGGGAGGGCAGGGTACAAATTAAATAAATAATAATAATAATAATAACCTTTCTTGCTCTGTGGAACGCAATTAAATGCCCTCTGGGCTGCTTTTTCTTAGGGACTGACGTGCTGGCTGCCCTGTCCCTTGAAAGGAAGGGCTAGAAAAAGGCTTGGAGCCTCCTCCCCCTTTAAAGACAGGCATTCAGATAAATTCAATTAACTGTAATTTAACTGCCCCCTTAACAATTTAAATGCCCCCAAACAAAAAATCCTGGCTGCAGGCCTGGAGCGGAGGCCGGTTCAAAAGGCGGCCTGTTCCTTTAGGATGTGGCGGGGGGGGGGACATTGACAGTTTCATGGGTGGCACCTTTTCAGTTTACATTGGCTGACCTGAGCAGTATCTTAGAGAAATGCGTTGCCTGCAGTTGGAGGGCCACTGAGAGGTAAACGTTGTCCGTGGTGGAAGGGGAAGGAAAGTGAGGACTGTGGTTTAACCATGAGCTGCATATCCAGGGATGCTTTCTCGCCGCATCCTGATTCCCCAACGATAGAAGGGCCTTGTGCTTCGGAGGAGGGGGGGGACCTCTGACGATTCTTCCCCTCTTCCCGCAGGTTCGTGAGCGTTATGAGAAAGCCCTGCAGGAGCTTGATCGCTGCAGCCCTCGCTACATGGAGGAGATGGAAACGGTTTTCGAGCAGGGGCAAGCCCTGGAGCAGCGGCGCATCATCTTTCTCAAAGGGGCCTTCCTCGCCCTGCACCGGCGCCTTGATGTCACTGCTGAAGCGACGTCACATCCGGTTGATGTAGATACATTGGGCGCGCGCTTTGTGCGCGCGCGCACCGGGAGGTCCCCAGGAGTCCCCCGTCGAGGAGGGGAGTACCATTTGGCACCCCTCTGCTCAGCTGGATTGCAGTATATTCTGCCTGCCTCTAGGGGAAATGAACATTCCAGTCTTGACCTTATCACAATGTTGTAGTTAGGAGAAAGAAGACTTGGATTGCACAAGTCTTTTTTTAGCCATTTTATGCATGGCTAATCTTACGTCTTCCTTTTTTTAAAAAATAATATTTTATAAGTTTTACAACAGAACTGGGAATTAATTACAAACACTGAACTATAACATCTGGACTTAATAAACATAACGAAAGGCAGTAACATAGTAAATTGTATATAAGCGCAGTATGATCAATAAGAATTTGCTAATAATACCAGTATGCATTCCACGGCCAAGCATGGTACTTATCACATTTATGACCGTGCTAAGGAGTAACATTTAAAGATACAGCAATATCTGATAAGATGGGTCGTGAGGTTGAATATCATCTTTAGTGACATACTCAAGGACTGGAAACCATTTCCCCATGAACCAGGTTGCTTTGGGATAGATTTCAGATTGGAGAAGGCGATCTGAGACCTTTTCCATCATGAAGTGCTCCCAGACGTTCGTGTACCAGAGAGATCTTGTAGCAGCCAATTAAGACTCTCCCTTTTTAAATAAATACATATGCAGCATATAAATATATAATATTTATAAATATATAAACCTGCAAGTATACAAATTACATAAATATTTACAGTCATTTCCTTCCACTAAAGATAGATAAAAAGTATGTAACCTATACACTTAGCTAACCAGAGTGTAAAATCTCTTCTTGCTGTACATCAGTTATTAAATAGGATTCTCCCATTATGGGTGAGCCAAATAGTGAGGCAGATTGTGGAATGCCGTCCAACAACCCTTCCTGTTCCTTTTCCTCCTTTCATTCAGCATCCAAGCAGTTTATGCTGACTTGCAACAAGCGATCGAGGACATAAACGACCAGGAGGACCTTAAATGGTGGCGTAACCGACACGGTCCCGGGATGCCCATGAACTGGCCACGGTTTGAGGTGGGAACATCTCCTTTCTTTCTTGATAGAAGAAGTGTATTCTGCACGCTTCCAGAGACACTGTTATCTCTAGGCAGCCTATATGCACAGAGAGAAACAGTGCCAGATAGTGGAAGCCCGTTCAAAAGTGAAACGTCTCAGCCCCACTAGAGGTCGCCAGAAGTCATAATGACTTCCAGGCTTGCAAGCGTGAGCGCACACCCACACAAAATACCCCCCCCCCCAAAAGCCACAAGTGGAAGCCCATTCAAAAAGCTTCCAGAAAATGCTTATTTACCTCTTCATTTGCTTCCCACATGCTCAGTTTGTACATCTGTAAACCATTTTTGTAATAAATCGGTTTTCAGTCATCAGTTTGCTCTCTTCACTAGAAACTTGTGCTGTCAACGGTTGCCCTGGAGCTTCAGTATTTCTCATGTAAACATAGTGACCTGCTGGTAATACTCTTTATTCCCTTATTGTATTATCAACAGTTCTCCTCAACAGCTGCACTTTTGAAGTGGAAGTCTGGGCACTGCAGGGTCTTTTAGTGTTTACACGACTGTAGTCTAGAGAGGACGTCTCCATTCCATACCATGAGCTTAACTTCCAAAGACTTGGAGAAATGAGAACAGCAATACTAGTGTAATAATATCATTTTAACAAGGAATCCCCAGAGGGCCCAAAATTATGCACCAGACACCAAACCGTAGCCAAGGCCTAATTGTTTCTCCTCTTTTCCTCTCTCCCTTCAGGGTTGGAGCCCTGACCAGGAGCGGCCAACAGTGAAAATCAAGAAAGCCAAAGAGCCTGAGAAAGCCATTCTCCGCAGTGTCACCCCTTCCCAGAGCAGGTGAGTTCTGCCTCCCTCCCGGTAAGTGATAGAGAAGGAAGGGCGAAGGGGCTGGGGAGCAAGGGAACAGAAGTCTGCACTGCTTTGGCTATAGTGGTCGCTTTGCTCCGAGCGACCAGATATTCGGAGAGTCTCCCAGAGACAGAGGAGGGATGGATGGAGCAGGTGGGCAACAGTCTCAGAGCTTCAGTGCAATGCAGCCCCGCCATGGGGCAAATAACGCTTCTCCTGGAGCCATTATGGGGTTGGGAAAACAGTGGGGCGGAGGGGAGGCTGAAGCCCCTTTTCCCCCATGCTGCTCTTTTTGTAGCAGGAACTCCTTTGCATATTAGGCCACACACCCCTAATGTAGCCAATCCTCCAAGAGCTTACAGAGCTCTTCTTACAGGGGCTACTGTAAGCTGGAGGGGAGGCTGAAGCCCCTTTCCCCCCGTACTGTTGAGCACTTCAGAAGTTGGAACTCATACCTGCCAAATGGCTGCAAGTTCCCATGGTGATCCTGTGTTGCATGTAATGCGTAGTTTGGACCCAAAATGGATTCCATTAAGATGGCAGCCTTAACAAGACTGCTGTTCCTGTTTGCTGTTATTTCCTGAGAGGATGAATTGGGAGGGGTGGGGAACCAAATAGCTTTCTTAGGGGACCAAGGTCCCTTTGGGCTGGGAGTATGTTGTGTACTTCGAGAAAGCCAGGGTGCCAGCTTGGCCTGGAGAAAATGTTCTGTCCCTTTAATAGAGACTTAACGGGATCTTATTTACTGCCATGCCTTGAAAAGCTTCCACCCCATAGCTGTACATTAAGCCTCTGTTAAAGAGACAGAGCATTTTGTTCCAGGTGAGTTGGCATCCTTAGGAGTTAGCCGGGATAAATCCTCCTTAAAACATTTGAATGGGTCCAACTAGAATAATATTTTTCTGTTCCTCCTCCCCCCCCAACTTTTTATAAATGATTATTTAGATTCCATATTAAAGAGTCAGCATGGTGTAGGGGTCAGAGTGTCAGAGCAGGATCTGGGAGACCCAGGTTCGAATCTCCACTCTGCTATGGAAGCCTGCTTGGTAGCCTTGAGCCAGTCACACCCTCCCTCAGCCTAACCTACCTCACAGGGTTGTTGTGAAGATAACATGGAGGAGAGGAGAAGGATGTAAACCACTTTGGGTTTCCATTGGAATGAAAGGCAGGGAACAAATTAAGTTAAGAATATTCTGACTCTCAGGCAGAGAAGGGTGTTTGCAACCGTTTGCCACCCTGAGATACTGGGGAACTGAATCTGGGTCTTAAGAACATAAGAACATAAGAGAGGCCAATGTTGGATCAGGCCAATGGCCCACCTAGTCCAACACTCTGTCACACAGTGGCCAAAAATACCAGGTGCCATCAGGAGGTCCATCAGTGGGGCCAGGACACCGTCCCCCCCCCCCCAGCACCAAGAATACAGAGCATCACCTGCCCCAGCCTGTGAGTTCCTATCTATACCTTGTGGCTAATAGCCACCGATGGACCTCTGCTCCATATGTTTATCCAGTTCCCTCTTGAAGCTGTCCATGCTTGTAGCCGCCGCCACCTCCTGTGGCAGTGAATTCCATGTGTTAATCACTCTTTGGGTAAAGAAGTACTTCTTCTGTTCTAACCCAACCGCTCAGCAATTTCATGGCGTGCCCACGAGTTCTTGTATTGTGAGTTCTTGTATTGTCTTTCTGCATGCTAAGCAATTGTTCAGCCCTTTCTTCATGACTCTACTTTGCTGCTTGGCTGTAGAACCGAGGTCAGCTGGAAGCCATTTAATTTAGAGAGAGCACTCTTGTGTGTGCTGTTGGGTATCAGCACCATCCTCATAGCTTGAGAGAAACCTTGTCAATAGCTGGTGTGGAAAAACAGTCAACGAATGTGCTACCACAGACTGTCACTAGGAGGAGCTGTCATTCTTGATATATACATAATTGTTCTCATAAAGCCTCAAGATTTCAAGTATTCGAAGTACGCACGCAGGACCTTAACAGTCTTTAGATCAGCACTTTAAGGCAGGGCAGGGTGATTCTCATATCTGTCTTGCAGATGATGGGACTGATGAGAAAACAGTAATATTACCTCGTGCATTCAGGGCTGACGTGAGGTTTGAACAAGGGACCTTCCAACCCACTGCATGCTCCTGTACTCTTCTGACTCTTGGAGAACAGGCACACAGGGCCATCAGTTTACATGGTAAAGTAGAGCATGTAAAAAGCAAAAAAAGCAGAGAGGGGCTTAAAGCCTGTGTACTAAGGTTGCCAACAGGCCTGGAGAAAAACATCCTGTCTCTTTAGGTAAAGTAAAGGTTCCCTTGGTCGAAAGCCAGTCGAATCCAACTCTAGGGTTGCGGTGCTCATCTCCGTTTCAAAGCCGAAGAGCCAGTGCTGTCCGAAGACATTTCTGTGGTCATGTGGCCAGCATGACTAAACACCAAGGCACACGGAACGCTGTTACCTTCCCACCGAAGTGGTACCTATTTATCTACTTGCGATTTCTTGCTTTCGAGCTTGCGAACTGCTAGGTTGGCAGGAGCTGGAACTAGAGATGGGAGCTCACTCCATCATGCGGCACCCGGGCCTTGAACTGCTGAACTACCGACCTTCCACAGCCTGCAGTTCAGCTTCTTAACCACTTGAGCCACCGCAGCTCCTGACTCTTTAACAGAAGCTTAATGTGTAGAAATGGGCAGCTTTTCATGGCATGGAGGTAAATAACATCCCACTAAGCCTCTGTTAAAGGGACTGGATATTTTTCTGCAGGCCTGTTGACAACTCTACTGGGTAGGGAGCCATGGGTGTATTTTGCTCGTGCTCAGAGGCTCTCTTGCCCTTATAACAAATGATGCGTTTCCAATTTTGGCCCCTGCCTCAGTTAGAGAGCCAGTTTGGTGTGGTGGTTAGGAGCAGGAACTGTAATCTGGGAGATCCAAGTTTGCTTCCCCACTCTTCCATGTGCAGCTGCTGGTGTCACCTTGGGTCAGTCACAAGTTCCCTCTGAGCTGTTCTCTCAAAAGCAGTCCTTGAAAGAGCTCTCTCAGGCCCACCCACCTCACAGGGTGTCTGTTGTGGGGAGGGGATGGGAAAGGAGATTGTAAGATGCTCTGAGACTCTGAGTGAAGGGCGGGGTATAAATCCAATTCCTCCTCTTCCTTCTCCTCCTTCCACTTCTCCTTCTTCCTTCTTCCTTTTTCTTTCTTCTTCTAGATGAGGTACTTGGGGTGGGGGCTACAAGCTGCCTTTTGAATAGGCTGTGAATGTGAGCGTGAGGGTGAGTGATAAAGGCACAGTGGAGTTTTAGGCGATACTGTCATCACAGGGAGATTACTGTTTTCACATGACATACTTGTTTGCTCATCAGAGTTACCACATACACTCGGCATGCTGAGTTGGGAGCTTGTCACCTCAAGAATTCTGTGCTGATTTCACATGATCTTTTCAGCCTGTGGCAATTAGAACATTTGAATTACCCTCCTGGGAAAGTGGCTTTTGATATCTGTTGGCTGTAGAGTCTGTTTCCAGAGTCTGAAAGAATGGGGGCTCCCCAGAAGCTCTGGAGGTCCCGTATACTACAAATCATTCCTAACTATCTAAAGGAAGTTGTAGAAGCCATTATTTTGAAAGGGAACCACGCACAGCTAGACAGGCAACACTTTAAAAAGGGATACTTAAAAAAAAATCCTTTATGCCATGTAATGCACATCATGGACTCATTTTTAATGAGTATGAGTTTATTTTTAATGAGTTTATTTTTAATGAGTTTAATGTGTTGAACTCATTTTTAATGAGGGCCAGATCTGACACAAATGTTACTTTGTCCAGTCGGGCCATGTATTCCATACAATGTAATGCTGGGTACCAGAGATACAAACATTATAAAGGACACGGGCAAACTCAATTAACAATATTATATTTTACTCCAAATCCAAACAAAAGCAATTGATTCCTAGCAGGGAAAGCAATTGATTTAGTGGGGAACCCACAAAAGCCCCAATAAATCTAATCATATGCAAGACAAGTTTTTGCCCCACAAGAGATAGTAAAAGGGGAGGGTATTTTACACATCCATACAAATTAGCTCATCACTTTTAGGAGATGAGTCATCATCCTAGCAAGTAAATAAGGTAGTTTTTCAGCAGCACTACCCCAAATATGCCCAGCCTCAGCACCCAAGCATGGCTACGATCTGTCTCTCAGTCTTTGTTTGTTTCCTCTGTTTCCCCATCCCCAACAACAACCACCCTGTGAAGTGGTCCAGGCTGAGCAACTGGCCCTGGGTGACCCAGATGACACGGTCCTGGCTCAGGAGGTGGGGGCGTCTGAACCAGGCTCTTCCACATCCCTCCACCCTCAGCTCTTATCCCTCCCGCGTTTCCCACATAAGTGGTGGGGCTGAGGGGAACGTCTGACAGAGAAGCTGTTTTCTGAAACCTCCAGGGGGCGCTTTTTGTCCTGCGACCCCTTTTCCCTCACAGGCTGAGAAGAGGTGGAGGAAGAAGGGAGGTTACCGTGTCCCCGTCCCCCACCGCCCCAACACTCACTCTGCCTCTGCGACTGTTCAGACGTGCGGTGACAACATCAGCACCCATATTTAACGTCGCTCCTCCACTCGCTTCTGAGAGCGGGAATATTTAACTTCGCTCCTCCACTCGCTTCTGAGAGCGGGAGGTCTTTTCCCCTCAGAAAGGCATGCACAAGACAGCCCATTTGCCTCCCAATCCATATGCCAGCCCTCCTCCTCCTCCTCTTCCCCGCTGGTCCTGTCCCTTCATCAGCTAACTGCCTCTCTGTGCACCTGGCTCTTGCCAACTCCCCTCACAGACACTATTTGAAAAAACACGAAGCCAGTTGGTGCAGCAGTGGCAGCACTGGTCACTCGGCTCTGCCCCACCCCCCAACTCTGTAGTGGCTTCTCCAGGCCTTGCTGAGCTGCAGTCAGAGGAGGTGAGCGGGGGAAAAACCACAACTCCTCTTTCTCTGCCTTCGCTTCCATTCCCTCCCCCCCCATTTTAACTTAGCCTCTTAGCCCTACCCCCTAGCCATTTCCTTTCTGCTTCTTGACAGCTTTGACGACACACACACACCTCACCACGTGTGGCTGTTTGCCCTCCCCCCCAGCAGCCTCTTGCTTCCGTCCCTCATACCAGTTGCTCAAGGGCCGGGTAAGAGCTCTGGACAGGCCGTATCCGGCCCCCGGGCCTTATGTTTGACACCTGGTTTACAGTGACCAACACTCATGGCAAATCCTCTTGCCAAACCTCACATCACTAGCCAGGAACGCAGTAAACTGTGTTGCCTGACCAAGAGGCAGGAAAGCCAATTGTCAAAGCCACTTAACCCTAATTAACATGGAACACAACCCTCATCCCATCGAAAGTTCTCTTGCACAAGCCTCGTCACAATACCCAAGCATCTTGAAGAAGGCTCGGAGGTAAATCTCCTGCTTTGCAGGTACAATCCCCGGCATTTCCGAGCTAAATACACATGACGCTGCCTTATACTGAATCAGACCATCAAGCTCAGTGTTGGCTACTCTGACCGGTGGCCGCTCTCTAGGGCTTCAGGCTGAGGTCTTTCACATCACCTACTGTCAGGTCCTCTTTAACTGGAGATGCCAGGGACTGAACCAGAGACCTTCTGCATGCAAAGCAGAAGCTCTTCCTGGCCCGTAGCCAGGATTGTGTGGCTTGTGGGGGGGAAATTTTTTTCTGGTGGGGCTGGCTTAGGGTGGAATCTGAGGCTTGGAGTGCACACGTGTGCCCCCCCTCCCCCAAAGCATTTAAAGGGATCCTTTAAATGCTTAGAAAAGAAGCAGGGATTGGCACGCGCCCCTCTCCCTCCCCTCCTGCAAGATTTAAAGGGCCCTTCAGCTGATCAGCGGGGAGCACGTGGCCCGTCGATCAGCTGAAGGGCCCTTTAAATCTTGCAGGAGTGGTGGGAGAGGGGCGCCTGCCAATCCCTGCTTCTTTTCAAAAGCATTTAACGGATCCTTTTAAATGCTTTTTGGAAGAAGTGGGGGGGGCCCACACGTGTGCACTCCAACCCTCAGACTCCACTCTAAGCCAGCCCCACCAGAAAAAAATTTGCCCCACAGAATCCTGGCTATGGGCCTGTCCCTCCCCAAGGTATCCTGGGAAACCAGTGTTGCAAAAGAGAGCCCAGAGAGCTGCTGCCACATGGAGTTGGCAGAAGGCATCTTTCTATGGGTCCTGCTGACAAGAGAACTCACCGTGTGAGAGAAATAAAGAAAAAGGGGGAAGGAGGGAGCTCGCCTGGAGTTCCGCTCACATTGCCGCCTCTTCCCGCAGTGCAAAGTCAGCACCCGTCTCAGTGTCAGGACAGCGGGTCCGTGCTGTGTATGACTATGCTGGCCAGGAGGCAGATGAGCTAAGCTTCAAGGCAGGTGAGTGCTACCCTGCTCCTTTCGTCCTGGCCCCCAGTTTATCCTACCAAAGGCCGGTCTTCCGGTATGAGCTTTCCCTCCCCCCTGCCTTCTATAGGTGGCCTGCGAAGGTTACCACGGCAGCCATGAGGACCAGAAGCATGGTGACCACTGGCACCCCATACTAGCCACCACCATGATATTTTTTGTATTTTTCATATTTGTGTGTGCGCGCGTCTGAGTGTGTGTGAGAGTGCGCCTGGAAGTCATGGCAACCTCTGGTGACTGACCCCTACTGGGAGCCTGGAGGATATTCAGAGAGGTGGCTGGATAAAGCCTGTCCCTGTCCTCCCAACTGCTGGTATTCCAAGGAGGTCTCCCCATCCAAGTACTTGCCAGAGTCGACCCTGCTTAGCTTCTGAGATCTGACAAGATCGGGCTTGCCGGGGCTATCCAGGTCAGGGCCCACCAGTGCTGCCTCTAAGCTGTGGAGTCCTGTGAGCAGAAATTCTGTTTTGTGAGCTACTAGCCTTAAAGTGGTGAGCGAGCGATTCGGCCGCTGCCTAAATTAGTTTGCTCTGGAGCCCTCCTTCCTGAGCTAAGAGAAAAAAATGTGTGAGCCAGAGGGTAGACAACTGTGAGCTAGCTGACACTAACTCAGCTTAGAGGGAACACCGACCATCACGATGATTTGATTCCTCCCGTTATCAGTAATAATGGACGGCTCTCTCTTTCTCTGCCTCTTCCCCAGGAGAGCTGCTTACCAAGCTGGAAGACGAAGATGAGCAAGGCTGGTGCAAGGGGGTGACAGACAGCGGGCACGTGGGGCTCTACCCTGCCAATTACGTGGAACCCGTACAAGGCTAGCTAGAAGGGTTTGGGGATCGTAGGAGGGGTCTGGCTGGGGGAGGGGGGGAATCTCACACCCATACACCCATTTAGAAGGACTGTGTTTATTCTGCATTTCTGAGGTCACCCCACGTGAGCGCAGAACAGGGCAATGTTCGGCATCTTGAGAATCCTTCGCTTTATTTTTTTCCCTTAAGTTTCTAGTCCTTACGGCTGCAAGCTTAATTTAGAAAATGGCCAGGGAGATCTCAGAAGCCCGGGTAGGCTGAGCTGAACCCAGCAGAAGGGGGTCGCTTTGCACAGCTTCTGGCCCCCTCCCTGTATGTCTAGCTATAGAATTAATTATGCTCTTTTTGCATAATTTATTCGGGGGGGCAGCATTTGACTTTTTCGTGGCAAAGAGTAGCCCTGATCAACAGGCAAAGACAGATATAAGCAACTGTCACCCGGTTCGCAACAGAAACACAGTGTATTCCACACACCAGTAACTGTACGCACATGTCCGGTTCGATTTGTAAAACCAGCACTGGACGCCTCATTCACATCCACACAATTGCACACACCGTCACGCCCTTCCCACATGTCTATGACAGACGTGCCAGTAAACCAAAGGTGCCTTTAAGTTCTCATTTGACTGGCTGAGACAGGGGAACTCCCTGCCCCCAAGGTCTTGGCAAACTTCTGGAAATTTGAGTCAGACTTCACAAGACACTGTTTGTGACTTGGGGATTTGAAAAACAGAATGAGGAAGGCGTTTCCAAGTGGCCGAGCCATGTTCTATAGAAATCACAAGATGCTTATCGAGAGAATGGCCGGACGTAGGTAACCGAGGGCGGGGGGGGAGACGATAATTTAATGTGTAGGTGCCGGTTGAAAATTTCCCCCTGTGGAAATTAACTGAGCAGGGAGCTGACTGTTCATAAGCCACAGAGTTTGCTCCAAATGTTCCTATTTACTAGGGACTGTTTTGCTGTGTTTGATTGCCAATTACAAACACCAGTGCTATTTTGATCCTATTTTTGACTTTGGGGGAATAACTTTTAAGAATTTGTTAGCACAAAATGCCTGAGTGGTCAATCTTCAGGGTTCATTTCCTGCCCCGTGTTCTGTAGGAGTTGCATTCTGTGACGGTGCACAGCCTGCGGTTTCAAACTCTACACCTGCTGGTAGATTTTGAACTGTGACTGAATATTGTCAAACAACGATGTCTTTCTAATACTCCTGTAAGCAAGAGAAGGAACACCGTCTTGGCCTGTAAATCTGTGGAGGACAATTGCACGGTCAGTAACCACAGCGCACAGCTGACGGAGTAGAGCCTTCAGCAAGGTGTCGCAGGGGCTAGAAAATCGATCTGTGGTATGAAAATGGGTGACACAAGCATGTCCCTATTTCCCTCTGTGAAGAATTAGGGCGCATCCCTATGCTCCCTGCATTTCTGAAAATTTGCAGCACATGTAGAGGAAACTATGTAATAAAATAGTTGCCTGACTCCAACCAAAGAAGCATAAGAAAACAGAGGCTGGGGGAAAAAAGTGACGACAAGCTTATGGGAACGAACATTTCAAAAGAGAAGAAAGCTTAGGTGTTCGACACCATCCGAAAATTGTAGGAAATCAATTAATAAATACGCCCGATGGCTGATTTCTGTGCCTTTTGGTTTCTAAGTTTTTTCTAGTCCTTATATGGCTGTAGTTTATTTTGAGAATCCACACACTGGACATGTGTGATCATGCTGTCAACATTGTTTATTTGACCATTGGCATTTTGACTGATGATAACCCAGTAAAGGAGATACAGGTAAGCTATAGCTTCCGGGAAAATTCTACTCGCTATAGAATATACACGAGGGAAATACAGACCGAGGGCTCCAGCCATTCCCCCAGGCATTCATTATAAGCCTGGCCTTACAGAAGCAGACAGACATTTTAGAACCAAAGAGGAAAAGTCCCGGCAGGACTGCTGGCCCCTCTGTGAGTAGAAGACTTTTGTTGTTTGTTTAAAAAAGATGGATTTCGTTTTATTTCCAGCCCTGTTTCAGTGCTTCGAAGAGAATAACCAGAGACTCATTTGGTGCCAGAGCTGAAGATTGCCTGGAAGTTGTCCCATCAGCTGTGGGGGAAGCGTTCCCTTTAAAACATGCACATAGAAACAAAAGAGTCTCTTTGCCTGTTTCAAAGCAACCACTAAACCACAAGGGCTATATTGAGAAGATTACTCTCTTCGATAACTAGTCTCCATAGATTATCAGCCGTCTGACTGAACAGGAGTCAGAAGTTTGTTTATTCCAGGTATCAAGTGAAAACTTTGTATCCCAGCCAAAGATCGCTCATGTTTATCTTTCAAGATATGTATTTTAAAATCAATCTGATCACTCATTAAATGAGTAAATATGAAAGAATCGTAATGTTACAAAAATGCTTACATATGTAAATTAATCAGAAACAAATATGTCATCCATTCTATCTATTTTAAGATTAGAAGATGAAATACAACTATCAAAACCAATTAATTCATCTCCTCAAATGTATGATGTAAGCATTTCTGAGCTTCGAAATAACTTTCCCAAAGCTATGTTGCAATCCAGCAATCTGGCTGTTCTTCACTTTGCAAGATTTATTTCTGGGCAAGTTTCCAGTGATTCACAATTATCTTTCCAGCGATGTGACAGCAAGAACTTTGCTGAAATGGTAAAAATATTAATTCTCTGGCCTGCTTTGTTCAGCCGTTGACAACAGGGTTCACACGAGTGGGCCATTATTACTCAACAGTAAGAAACAGGCACTTACCCGTTTACCCTTTAGAGGTACTCATTCTGGTAATATGCCCCGAGTCTCAAAAATATGAACTGTAAAGGAAGTAAAACGAAGGGAGTCTGAGCCCTGCACTGGAGACAGGATTAACAGGAATATAAACTGCATGAGGATAATATTTCCATATGATCATGTGAGGCGGCTATTCCCATTTGACATAATTGAAAAACAAACAACAAGCTAATGAGTTACCCTGGTAGAGATGGCCCTGATATGTATGTATTGATACCCAAAGCTGGCAAACTAAATGTAACATAACATAAGAAGAAAAGGATGACATAATGATTAGCAGCTGCCCTTGAATAGTACCTGGAGATCGTCCAGAGTCCAAGCATCAGTTCCCTGGGCCCCTAGGAATATGTAACATCCCTACACACACACACACACAATCCCATCCCATTTGTTCAATGCCATGAGCTATGAAAGAAAAATGACTATTCTGCAGATAGTTCCAGGTGGTCAGTTGTGTTGGTCTGAAGCAGTAGAACCATTTAGAGTCCAGCAGGCACCTTTAAGACCAACAAAGGTTTATTCAAGGCTCATCCTCCCCCTCCCATGGTGCCTCAATTCGTATTCAAATTCTGATCTCTCAGGTCAGAGCCCTGCAGGCTTCGGTTTAATAAAGGATGGGAGAGGCCATGCTCCATTAAAGGGAACAGGGCACGGAGATGAACGATCAGAGAGGTTGCTGAAGTCGGGCTACCACCTGGCTGGTACATTACTAGTTTGGCTTGGTTTATCAAACTGTTGTGTCGATGCCGTAAAAAAAAATGTTGATTATGTGTCAAGGCCTAATGAACCAGTGCTATGACGGTAGCCACAGTTGTCCTAGTGCTGATCTGTTAGGAGGTGGCAGGAAAAGGTCAAGACAGTGCTACCCCGATTCTCAACAATCCTTTGTTAGGATTGCTGTTTGCCAAATAATCCCTCTTTGTGAGGGGCCAAAGGAAACTCCTGGGTGGTGGTGGAAAGCACCGTCAAGTCACAGATGAACAATCAGAGAGGTTGCTGAAGTCGGGCTACAACCTGGCTGGTACATTACTAGTTTGGCTCGGTTTATCAAACTGTTGCGTCTGTGCCGTGGAAAAAAAACGTTGATTATGTGTCAAGGCCTAATGAACCAGTGCTATGACGGTAGCCGCAGTTGTCCTAGTGCTGATCTGTTAGGAGGTGGCAGCAAAAGGTCAAGACAGTGCTACCCCGATTCTCAACAATCCTTTGTTAGGATTGCTGTTTGCCAGATAATCCCTCTTTGTGAGGGGCCAAAGGAAACTCCTGGGTGGTGGTGGAAAGCACCGTCAAGTCACAGCTGTCCTATGGTGACCCCATAGTGTTTTCAAGAGAAAAGATGTTCAGAGGTGGTTTATGATCCCTGCCTCCACCTCATGACCCTGTTATTCTTTGGAGGTCTCCCATCCAAATATTGGCCAGGGCTGACCCTGCTTACCTTCCGAGATCTTACAAGATCGGGCTAGCCTGGGCTGTCCAGGTCAGATTATTCTCCTGGGACTGACACCTGACTTCACTGGTAAAGGTAAAGGTTCCCTTGCTCGAAAGCCAGTCGAGTCCGACTCTAGGGTTGCGGTGCTCATCACCGTTTCAAAGCTGAAGAGCCAGCGCTGTCCGAAGACGTTTCCGTGGTCATGTGGCTGACATGACTAAACACCAAGGTGCACGGAACGCTGTTACCTTCCCACCGAAGTGGTACCTATTTATCTCCTTGCAATTTCTTGCTTTCGAACTGCTAGGTTGGCAGGAGCTGGAACTAGAGACGGGAGCTCACTCCGTCATGCGGCAACTCAGGTCTCGAACTACTGAACTACCGACCTTCCACAGCCTGCAGTTCAGCGCCTTAACCATTTGAGCCACCGCAGCTCTTCACTGAGGCCAGGGCAAAAATAGGACTTTGTGCACAGCTGGTGTCTCATTTAAACTGGGTACTTTGCAAGGGCAGGGGGCCCCATTTTAAAGAAGATACTGTGTGGGTGTGACTGCGATCAGTTCTCTTGGAGAAAACGGCAGCTATGAAAAGTGGGCCGCGGAATCAACTCCTCCCCTCCACAAACTCTGCTCTCGGATTTCCAGGAATTTCCCAAGCCAGAGTTGGCATTGGCAACCCTACCAGCATCTCATCTAAATCAAATCCAATGTCTTGAGAGGGGAGGGGAGGGGAGGGTTTGATTTGTTTGAAACCTGTGCCAGATCTGTGACAAAAGGGGCAGGGGGTCCCCAAGGTCCATACTGCTCAGTCAAATCAGATATTGGGGGTAATAAGGATGAGGAGAATGCTTCCACGCCTTCAATTGTCCTACTTACCAAAGAGCTTAGGGAAAACCAAGTTGTTCCTAAAATTTCGTCAGCAGCCAGTTGTCAGCTGGACCCCCCAAGGTGTCAAAGTAATTTGTTATGAGGGCTGGATCTGACATAAATGTTACTTTGTCAGGCCGGGCCATGTCTGCCATAAAATGTAATGTCAGGTACCAGACATATAAACTTTATAAATGACACAGGCGAACCCAATGAATGGTATTCTTTTTTACTCCAAATACAAACAAAAGCAATTGATTCCTAGGCGTGAAAGCAATTTATTTACAGGAGGGTCCACAAAAGCCCCAATAAATAATCATATGCAAGACTAGGTTTTTTCGCAAGGGATACCATGCTTGTCTGCTTCCTTTCATTTCTTGACCGCTTCGACCACACACACCTCACCCGGTGCACCTGCTCCCCCCGCCCGAGCAGCCTCCTGCCTTCCCTGCCTCGCACCAGTTGCTCATGGGCTGGATAAGTGCCCTGGACAGGCCGGTTCCGGCCCCCAGGCCATATGCTTGACCCCCCAGCCCTAGACTGTCCAGGATCTAACACCTTCTGTTGTGCAGCCAGGGAGATTCAAAGTCCTAGAAATTCATCATTCATTTAGAATCTGGGCCCAACGAAGGTTGAACCCGTGCCCTGGATGTTTTCAGCCAATCAGGGCCTGAACCCCAATGGTTTGTATGAAATAGGGGTGGTGAGCCCCAGGACTCAGAGCCAATTAGGAGCTGCAATCAACATTCCTGGGGCCAATGGGTGAGGCAGCTTGCTGCTACCCAACCGGTCTAGATAGTAATCTAGTCCACCCCTGAGCTGAGTTGTTGGGTGCAGCCAGGATAGACAGAAGGAAGAAAAGGCAGCTGGAGGTTGCAAGAGGACGGAACAAATGAAGATGGGAGGCCGAGTCTGGATTGTGATGTTGCTGCTGGCGATTGGGGTTCAAGGAATGCGGTGAGTGCATGCAAGATCCTTGGATGCCCAGGGTTGACCGAAGAAAGGGACGGAGGTCTACAGTGGTGTCTTTAGAAGCTCAGACGCCTACATTCTACAGGGAGGGGATGCCAAAGTCCACTTTCTTAAAGGGAATTCTGTGGGTTAGGGAGGATAGGGATCCTAGACATTGATCTTCAAGGGACAAACTGAAGCTTGAGCTACTCTGATGTGTTTTCTGGATGAGGTGTAGAGTCTAACATTGGAGGAAGATTTAGAGATTAGCAAGCCATGATTCCTGGGTACCTGGGTAGGGGAGAAGGGCATAGTGGTTAGAGAGTGAACCAGGAGACAGTACTCCAACAAGGAATTATGGACCAGTGGGCTAAAACAGAGAGAGTTTGGATGATGCAGGGATCTGAAGATTGATGGACGGAGACTGAAGGACCCCTGAATTTTTGACCCCTAGTGAGTTAAAGGGGTGCTGCCCAGCCAGTCTCAGAACTCCAAGGTTTTTGGTAGGAAAAGAGTTAAATGATAGCTGAGAACAATGGTTTGTGGGGGAGGCAAAAGAAATGGCATGATGGGGTGTTTTGTGGTGGCAGGAGCAGCTCAGCGATGGTGTTTGACAGGAGACCGTTTGGACACCCTTGAATTAGAGCAAAGGATTCTGGGAGTTAGAACTGGAGAGTGAATTAAAGGTTTGGGTATGACTGAATTATCTGGGAACGGATTGGGATTTGACACTTTAGAAGAGAAAGGATTTAGATATGTTTGGAAGCTGCCTTGAGAAGGCTGTGTGTTGAGTGTCTGGGTTACAGACGTTTTAAACAAAATAAATACAGAATTCCTGACAGCAATAAGATGAGGAGGGCCAAAGTCAAAATCCCCAAGTTCTATGAAAGACAGCAAGCAGTTTCTGGAGAATCCTGGATTCCCTAGGAAACACATATGGATTGGGTTGGGTTCGTTAGGGATTTAGGCTTGCCCTCTTCCAAGTGGGGCCTGGAGATCTCCTGAAATCACAACTGATCCCCAGAATACAGAGATGGTCCCCCCCGCGGAGAACATGGCTGCTTGGGAGGGTGGGCTCTATGGCTCTTTTGAAGTCCCTCCCCAAATTTCGCTCTCCCCGCCTTCCATCCCCAGATCTCCGAGAGTTTCCCAATTGGGAGTTGGCATAATGTCTCTCTTGGATGAGAGTTCCATAGGTAACATCACTGCTACCAGCCTGATGCAACTCCTGCACTTTTAAATATTTGTGTGACATGTGAAACTGACAGCAATTCGGCAGGGATGCCTGCTCCTATCGCTGAACCTACAGAGGCTTTGCCTGTTGAATATCTGCTTGTCCCAAAGATATTTAAAGGCCTAAGGGATTAGAAACCGTTGGCAGCTTTAGCGATAAATGCGAGCGGAAGACCGAAAAGCGCTTTGGCACAGGGCAAAGGGGGAGACCTCACCCACTCACTGTTTCCAGGGGAATCCCCACGCTGTTGTCGCCCACCATTCCCGGCTGTCCTTCCCAGCCTATCAGCTCTATGCAAATGGGACTGCCGATACGTGGGCAAAGAAAAAGATGCAAAGCACTACTGGATCTTGCCTCAACCTAGAAAGCGTGCCGTGGCTGTGCAATCCTGTACATGGCGAGCAGAGTTACGTATCTGTAATTACCAGCCCTGCCCTGCTCAGCTGCCTACGGCTGGGTGATGCCCAGGTATCGGTGTGGTTAATTATAGAGGCCCTCTCAACAAGCAATATTTTTTTTTTGGCTAATATATTCCAACATGAATTGGGAGGTGGAAGAATGCATGCTGAACAGCATACCTGACGTTTGAGCAGAAGGGAGCTGAATTGTCACACCGGCCGGAAATGGGTTGTAGGTGATGGGAAGATGAGCTTTAAAACTGATGACTTTAAATTCCCACTCAGAAATCCTCCAGCTGGTTGCTAGCAGAGCCTCCCACATTGTGGGTTTTGTTTTCCAGCCTTTGCTACCGGCACACAAACACAGGAAGTTGCCTTGTACTGAGCCAGACTGTAGGTTTCTCCAGGTGACTCTTGTGTCTTGTCTACTCAGACTGGTGGTGGTTCTCCAGGGTCTCTCAAGTAGAGAGTTTTCACATCACGTGAGCATTTTAACTGTAGATGCCGGGGATTGAACCTGGGGTCTCCTGCATGCCAAGCAGAAGCTCTGCCGCTGAGCCACCACTCTTCTCTACCACCACCCCCATCCCTGTGCCTTTAAGAGCAGATATCATCAGATGATAGTCCTGATCTCTTTGCCTTGAAAAGTGTCCCTGGCTGGTTGCAGGTGGATCAAGCTGCACAGGAGCAAGTTAGGACAATATCCTTTTTCTAATCAGTTTGCAGGTCTAACCAGGGTTGCCAGCTCTGGGTTGGGAAATACCTGGAGATTTCAGGGGGTGGGGCCTTAGGGTGGGGAGCGGAAGGACTTAAATGGGGTATAATACCATATAGAGTCCACCTTCCAGAGCGGCCATTTTCTCCAGGTGAACTGATCTTTGTCACCTGGAGATCAGTTGTATTAGTGGGAGATCGCCAGTCACCACCTGGAGGTTGTAGAAACAACAGAGAGATCACGGGAAGGATGCGAAACAATGATGAAAACAACCGTGATGTAGTATTATGAAACTATATTTAGACTGCTGTTTTGCAGTGAGTGGTGTTTCTTCAACAAGTAATAACGACGCACGCATACACACTACGGAAACTGCATACACTCCCGTTTCACATAACAGCTTTTTCACAGTGTGCTGCATGAATAACATTAATTTACACGTCACTGAAATGAGAGGAAAAACAATTACAATCAAATGGTTATATGTCTAAATATATATTTTTGGACTGAATGCTAATCTGTTTGTATTTAATGAATACGCATTATTTTGACAAATGGTCTTTGACCGTAAATAAACATCATTCATTCATTCATTCATTCATTCATTCATTCAGTCAGTCAGTCAGTCAGTCAGTCAGTCAGTCATTACAATCAAATGACCATCTTATGTTGTCACTAATACATGCATGCAAACTCCACTGATTTTGTTCTCTGAGACAGGATCCCTCTGAAGAAATTCCCATCAGTCCGGAATCGCTTTGGCCAGTCGGGCCTGCCCATTGCTGACCTCTTAAGACGTGGAGGACTCAGGGCTGGGAAGCCCCCTAACGCTTCCGTCACCCACCAACGCCTCCACAACTATATGGACGTATGTGCTTTACTTCCTCTGAGGGTGAACTCAGCCATGGACACTTGACACTTTAGTCTGAGGGCAGGATTGCCTCGGTTGGACGGTGTAGGCGATTAGCGCTATCACACAGTATCGCACAGCCCAATGCTACATATATCTTTTCAGAAGTCAGGGCCTTTGCGTTCAGGAGGGCTTACTCCCAAGAAAGCGTGTCTAGGACTGCAGCCTTCGTCAGTTTTCCCCCCGTTCATTATCAGGGGCTTATTAATAATTGAAATTGGCATGCTTTTGCATATAAGCAAAACATCCTGGCCTGGACTCTGCCCTTGTGCCAGGCAAAGTCGGAAGCCTTCCTCAAGACTTTCCCCTACTTAAGTGGCTCTTCTATTGAGGGAGAACCACTTACTTTGGAGGAACACTCCTTAGGCCGGAACAACTTCCTCCAGCCTCAGGTAGGATACCGTCCACTTTCTATAGAAAAAGAGATATAGTTGTTCTTTGTTTATGAGGTGAGCACTGCAGGCACCATCTTGGGAGAGGCATCCCCTCCTGTATAAGAAAGAAGAATATCTCCCCATGACATTTATTTATTTAGTCCATTAGACTTATAGCCCGCTCTCCCCCGCGAACAGGCTCAGAGCGGGTAACATCATGATAAGACGCAATATACAATCTAAAACATCCATAATTCTAATACAATAAATACAGTAAAAGGATAAAACACAATCAAAAACACAACTAATAGACGGCATAAAATCTCAGGGGGGGTAAGTATCTAAAAACTGTCTGGTATGGAGAAAAGGGGCGGGGGAAAGGGGAGAAGGAGGAGGCAGGAGGTCGATCAAGATGGAAGACTGTCACTGCCCTCAACCATACGCCTGGTGGGACAACTCTGTCTTATAGGACAGGAACTGCTTTAGGTCCCACAGGGCTCGGATCTCACCTGGAAGAGTGTTTCCCCCCAGGTTGGATGAGGACAGCTGGACGCTCTTGGGGCCAGGGGTCACCAGAAGGTTTCTGTCACTTAAGTGTAGTGCTCTTGGGGGGGGGGTATATACTAGGAGAGGCGGTCCCGAAGGTATGCTGGTCTCAGACCATTTAGTGCTTTAAAGGTCAACACCAGAACCTTAAAAAAAAAAAAAGCGCTGCCCCACAGTTAATTGGGGAATAGTGGATCAAAATGCTTTCCATGGATTAGTCTAATTGATTAATTGACTGCACATATACTTGCTACCTATTTATCAGGCAACCAAAAAGAGGGGGGAAAGCCAGTGTGTAGTACAAGAAGCAAAACAAGAAATACCACTGACTGAAAACAAGTATATAATAATCATATAAGCATTACAGCAAGTATAATGTAAATCATTTGGCCAAGGTGCAGTAATGAAGCATATAAGAAGAAGAAGCACCGTCTACAGTCTTTCCATGTGTCTTACTCCAGCATAGGAAATATCAAATATCAAAGTCCAAATTGTAGTATATGTCATCATTGAAGTGTATATCATTGACGCGTAATCCGGATGCCTGGTGCCGCGTTTCGAATAATTCTTATTCAAGCATAGCTGTAATGGGACCCAATCTCAAGAGCTGGCATATACAAAGCCTAAGTGGTTAGTCAAGGAGAATAGCCTAAATGGTTAGTCAACCAGGCATCCGGATTACGCGTCGATGATATACACTTCAATGATGACATATACTTCAATTTGGACCTATTTATCAGAGACAAACCCTATTTTGGGGTTCCAAGCCCTGGTCTGTTGGCACCTGAAGCTAACCATATCTGTGTCTGGTCAGTGTCCAGATGAGAGACCCTCGGTAACTCTGCCTCCATATCCAAGGAACAAAGACAGGGTGTATTTGCAATAGAGGGATAACGTATCTGGGAAACCGCTGTCCTTGTTGGTCTTTTGAGGATACTTTTTTATTGAATGTAGAGCACACCCAGAAACTTGGTGTCGTGGTTAATGTGTCCAACTAGGATCTGAGAGCTTCAGATTCAAATCCTACTTTGCCACGAGTGACATTGGACATTCTCTCAGCCTAACTGACCTCACAGGGTTGCTGTGAGAATAAGAGGAGACTGATGAACACTACCCTAAACGCTTGGTGTGATGGCAGGATAAAAAAGATAGCAGATAAATGTATGCTAGATCGGATTATCATACGGTCCAGTTCAACATTATCTAATCTGACTGGCAGCCAGCTCTCCACGACACAGTAGAATTGTTTTCAGTTTCAGCCCTCTCTCCTGGAAGTCCAGAAGGATAGCTGGAATCTCTAAGGCATGTAAATATAGCCATGCGGACACGTGGCAATAATTGCCTATCTGTTGAATAAATATTGTTGTCTTTGTCAGAGAGAGTTCCGAGTACAAATGGATCCACTGTAAGACAGAACATTCAGTTTAACATTCTGAAGTTCATCTCTTTCAAGGAAGCTATTACGGGTGGTTTGTAAGCTGTTTCGGAAGCCCCGGCGTAGCAGAGTAAACAAAAGCTGTGCACAGCAGGTAGAGAAGAACCTTCAGCTTTGTGTAATGGGGCGGCACTCCAGCAGTGACGATCCTAGATGGGAAAACAGACATGGCATAGTTATGCCTCGGTGCTCTCCTCTTTCCATTGGTGAAACATCCGAGGGTATCGAAGTCTTGCAGGCCTAAATGGCTGATCAGGACAGGAGATCCCGGGAGCCCCAGAGCCTCTCTATTCTGAAATTAAGCACTGTAAAGATCTCCAGTCGCTCAGATGAGCTTTTAAAAGGATTAGACAAATTCACGGAAAATGTTCCTGACAACAGCGATTAATCATGATAGTTAAAATGCGCTGCAGGTTTGGGTGACAGAACTCTGCAGTCTGATCCAGCAAGGTAGTTCTTATGGACAGGCTAGCAATTATGGCCCCGGTCACACGGGCCGGATATTGTGGGGGGAGGCATGGCTGTTTGCCCCGGAGCAAACTATTGCGCAGCAGCCAGATCAAACGTCCCACCTGAAGTCCCGCCGACGTCCCATGGTTGGGGGGAGTTGCCAGTCATACCTCACTCCTGCGGCGCGGCAAAGAAGCGGCGCCGCGGGAGTTGTGTTGTTTTTTTTTAACCCAAGTGTTCACTTGCGCCGTTGGGTGCTTGTGCGCACCCGTGGAGACTTGACAAAAAAAAAATTGCGGCGGGACATGGGCGGGTGCCGGATGCCACAAGCTAACACCGAGATTTGAAAAAAAAAAAATTGCGGCGGGACATGGGCGGGTGCCGGATGCCACAAGCTAACACCGGAAACGTGATCTGACGCCCGCCGTTGCCCCGCGGTTTCCGGAAACTAGTACCTCGGAGGTACTAGTTTTTTACAGCGCATCTTCGGAGTGAAGCCTCGGGTGAGCCACAGGAGCTCTACGCTTCCCAGATGTGGCGGTGAGATCGCGCCCGGAAAATCCGCCTATCTTCCGTCTCTCTAGCATGCCTAATGCTCCGTGTGACCAGGGCCTATGTGAAGCAAAAGGGGGAGTGGGGGTGGGAGACCGTGTTCACCTTTTCCTTCCTTTCTCTCGTCCCCACCCCTCTCCAGGCACAGTACTACGGGGACATCTACATCGGGACCCCGAAACAGCGCTTCACCGTTGTCTTTGATACCGGCTCTTCCAATTTGTGGGTGCCCTCCTCCAAATGTTGCCTGGCACATCTGGCCTGCTGTAAGACCTCAGATACCTCAGTTCTCTGGGAATGGGGGAGTGTTGGTGATGGTCCTGAGGAGAAAGGGTTGTGAGGCCTCTCTAGGAAGAGATGGCCAGTTGTCAGGGAATTCTCACGTTCCAGACTGTGGCTTCACCAGATCAGGCACGCTACGGGTGGCTCACACATCAGTTGATTTATTTTTTGATTCCTCAGTATTTGATGAGGGGCAACTGAAAATGTGTCCTGGCTCCTCCCAACAAATTCTGTTTACTGATGTTCACCGATATGAATTAGAGATTGATTATGGTTCACTGGTCATCACTGGGTGCTGTTGCCACGAACTGGCAGCTGTGAACCTACCACTGAATGGTTTGTCCATCCAACAGAGGTTATGGCCATAACACACTCAGCCTATCTTATTATTACATTTTTATTCTAATCTTCTTTCAAAGAGCTCACGTGTCCCCGGTCCCTCATATTTATCTTCACAACAACCCTGTGAGGTAGGTTGGCTGAGAGACGAGAAGTAGCACCCTCGGGCTTTCAAGGAAAGGAAGAAAAAGAAGAGGAGGGGGAGGGGGAGGAGGAGGAGGAGAAGGAGGAGGAGATTGGATTTATCCCCCGCCCTTCACTTGGAGTCTCAGAGCGGTTTACAAACTCCTCTCCCTTCCCCTCCCCACAACAGACACCCTGTGAGGTGGGTGGGGCTGAGAGAGCTCTGACACAAACTGCTCTTTCAGGAACAGCTGTGCCAGAGCTTGAGACTGACCCAAGGTCACATCAGCAGGTGCAAGTGGAGGAGTGGGGAATCAAACCCGGTTCTCCCAGATTAGAGTCTGCGCACTTAACCACTAGACCAAACTGGGGACAAAATTCTGGGGTCCTAATCAACCTGAGGGCCCAAGGAGCTGGACCAATCATGTAGTTCCCTTTCAGTTTGCATCTGAGGAGAGGGCCCACAAGAAATATTTGCTGGCAGAGCCATGATAACTCTTAGTAAGCCTGACTGGCCCACAGTCAGCCAGTAACCTTTGTGAGTGAGCAGCCATTTGAACTTACCCCATATTTAGGGTCACCAGCTCTGGGTTAGGAAATACCTGGAGATTTGGGGGGTGTAGTCTGAGGAGGGCAGGGTTTGGGGGAGGGGATGGACTTCAATGGGGCATAATGCCATAGAGTCCACCTTCCAAAGTGGCCATTTTCTCTAGGTGAACCGATAGCTTCAGCCACCCCCTGCAGGCTGGCAACCCGAGATCTAACCCATTTGACGAATAGGGAGATTAGAACTGGGAAAAGGAGGTATTGTGTTGTGAGAACCGCACAACGAAACAGTAGGGTTGCCACCGCAATGTTCCCTCTAAGCTGTGGGAGTCTCATGAGCAAAAATTCCACTTTGTGAGCTCCTGGCATGAAAGTGGTGAGCGAGCAGTTTGTCTGCTGCATCAATCAGTTTGCTCTGGAGCCATCCTTCCTGAGCGGAGACAAATAATTGGGGGGCCAGGGGCTAAAAAACTATGAGCTAGCTCACACTAACTCAGCTTAGAGGGAACACTGGTTGCCAGCCTCCACAACCTCTGCTGTGGAGAACGTGAAATTTCTAAAGTACCTCTGAATTAGTGCAGAGTGGGCCTCTCTCACCAATTACCAAATATGATGTCCTCCGTTCCTCAGAGGAGGAGGACCCTTCACGGTAAGTATCCAATGGTCCATTCTCCCTCTGAGGCGGAGGGCATGTTGGTGGGTCATTCCCATCCTCTTATTAGTCTCTCCCTCAGACCAGCTGGGATGATGTGATGTCCAGCCAGTTGAAGGCCTTGAAATTTACTTTCTAAAGAACAGAAGCACTGGCCCTGACCTGTTTGGTGTAGTGGTTAAGTGCATGGACTCTCATCTGGTAGAACCGGGTTTGATTCCTGAAAAGTACGCAGACGGAGAGTGATTTCAGCAAAGCGTACTTTATTCGATCAGGATCAAGACGACTTTGGCCGGCTCGCAGGCCGGCTTATATCCCCCGAGAAACTGCCACCCAAAACACACCCCTACTTCCCTATAGGTTATTTACAGTGGCCGAGAGTTCCATAGGCTCTCGGCCGGGAACCTAGCCCCCTGATTGGAGCGGGCTAGGATCCGCATAGTCCATTGTCTCTTGGAGCGAAGCTTGACGTTTGTCTCTGGACTTGTCTGGACTTTCTGTCAGAGCTCTCTCAGCCCCACGTACCTACCATTGAGGGGAGGGGAAGGAAAAGGAGTTTGTAAGCCACTCTGAGACTCCTTTGGGGTAGTGAAGGGTGGGGTATAAATCCAATCTCCTCCTCCTCCTCCTCTCCTGGATAGCCCAGGCAACCCCAATCTTGTTGGATCTCAAAAGCGAAGCAGGGCCAACCCTGGCAAATACTTGGAAGGGCGACCGCCAAGGAATACCAGAGGCAGGATGCAGAGGCAGGCTAATCAAGCCACCTCTCTGAAAAATGTCCAAGCCCACAGTAGGGGTTGCCAGAAGTCAACCATAACTTCCAGACAAGCACACAAAACACACATACACACACAATAGACAGACAGACAGGCAGATATAGAACTGAAGTACTGGAAGCTAGGCAGTGACAGTGTGGTATAATGATTAGCACTTTGGAGTTGGGAGACCAGGGGTTTAAATCTATCCTTGCCTATGTGGCTCTCTGGGTTACTTTGGGCCAGCTGCTTTCTCTCAGCCTAGCCTACCCCATAGGGTTGTTGTGAGAATAAAATGGAGGAGATAACGTATGTTGCTCTAACTTCCTCCTTGGAGAAAAGATGGGCTAAAAATATGTTGGCTGGAAAGGACTCCAGCAAGTTAATGAGGGCTAGGGGAGTTTGCTAAGTGATTTTAATATTTATTTTATATAATTTAGAAAACTGTACGCTGCCTCTCCGGAGAAACTCCCCACTCCGGTCTGTCTCCTGTCCCCCCAATATTTGCTGTATCTTGTGGCTACTACCCTCCCCTTTCTGGCTACCATGCTGTATCATGTTAACTGTGAATGTGCACAACTTCACTATCATACAGGAACATAAAGAAGTCTCATGTGCTGGGTTAGCTCTAGCTATCTTTGGAAATGTGATTTGTTCAAAGAAGTCAGAACCAAAGTACTTAAGGATGGACTGATATGGTGTTTGAACAACATAGTGCTAAATAGAGTGAATTAACATTACTGCTATTTTTAATCTCATGTTTCTTTTCTATAACATGAGAAGTTTCCATTAGACAAATTGGGCTGGAGTTCTAAGCTCCTCTGTCATGTTGTGATTGATCTATTATACATGATTGAAATGGCACTGGATTTTTAAAATAATAAAATATGATGGTAAGAGAGTTTCCTGAACCAAATCTGGACCCCAACAAGTGCAGCCTGCTCCAATGCCAACACAGAAGCAAAAGGGGAATAAAGAAAGGAACTCCGGTAATAACTGAACCTGCTGGCAAGCGACTTTTTAGGGGGTTCAAGTTGTGTAGCTGGTCCATTACCCTTCACTCCCTTCTCAAAATGGCTCCGGAACAGACAGACAGGGGATGACGAAGGCATTACAGGTGTTTATATTAAGTTCCTCCCCACCAAATACAATTGTTGAATGGCAACACAAGGTTACCTATAAGGCGGATATCCCCAATCCTTTGGAAACTGTTAAACGGTAAAGGTAAAGGTTCCCTTGCTCAAAAGCCAGTCGAATCCGACTCTAGGGTTGTGGTGCTCATCTCCATTTCAAAGCCGAAGAGCCAGCGCTGTCCGAAGACGTTTCCGTGGTCATGTGGCCGGCATGACTAAACACCAAGGCGCACGGAATGCTGTTACCTTCCCACCGAAGCGGTACCTATTTATCTACTTGCAATTTCTTGCTTTTGAACTGCTAGGTTGGCAGGAGCTGGAACTAGAGACGGGAGCTCACTCCGTCATGCAGCAACCCGGGTCTCGAACTGCTGAACTACCGACCTTCCACAGCCTGCGTCTTAACCACTTGAGCCACCGCAGCTCCTGGCTAATGATCTTGAAATCTAGCTGGCACTGGATGCTGGGCGTAACCACAAAATGGCTTTCACTAGAGCTGGAGCCAATCACAAAATCTCAGGGGATTAGGTTCACATGCACACAAAGGTTTATACCTTGATTTGAATAAAATTTTGCTGATCCTAAAGGTGCCCCTGGAGTCGAACTTTGTTCTGCTGCTTCAGACCAACACGGTTACTCACCTGAATCTATAATTCCAAATAGTAATTCTTTAACATTCCAGGCAGAAACTCTGTTTAACAGGATGCCTTTTTAAATATTTTCTTGCCTACACATAGCTTATCTGCAGACATACAGTGAAGATCCTTGTGGTGTGGCGGCAGCTGCTGCCAAAGCAACTTTTAAAAATCTGCACAGCCAATCAGATGGTGGATCAAAAGCCCTGCTGGGCGAAAGCCCCACCTGCCCCATTCACTTTCTAAAAACACTTGGCAGGCACCAATCAGATGGTGGATCAATAGCCCTGCTGGGCGAAAGCCCCACCTGCCCCATTTACTTTCTAAAAACAGTTGGCAGGCACCAGGAAAAGTATCTGTGGGTCCCATGCAATGCTCCCTCTAAGCTGTGGAGTCTTGTAAGCAAAAATTCTAGTTGGTAAGCTACTGGCATTAAAGTTGTGAGCGAGCTATTTGGCTGCTGTACAAATTAGTTTGCTCTGGAGCCGTCCTTCCAGAGCTAAGACAAAATTGTGTGAGCCAGAGGCTAAAAAACTATGAGCTAGCTCACACTAACTCCGCTTAGAGGGAACACCATGGCTTCCTGGGGCGCCACACTGGGGGACCCTGCTATAATGCATCAACATTAAGGGTAGGCTGGGCTGGGTTTCGATCAAGAAAGAAGGTGCTGAGATCTGGCCCACTTCCACCACTGCCACTAATGCCCTTTCTTTCCTCAGGGGTACACAGTCACTACCGGTCCTTGTTTTCGTGCACCCACGAGGCTGATAAGTCCAAATTTGAAATCCACTACGGAAGCGGCAGCCTGAAAGGATTCTTGAGCCGGGATGTTCTGACTGTAAGTACGGGACAGCGTTACCAACGCTGGCTTAGGAAATTCCTGGAGATTTGGGGGCAGTGTCTTGGGAGGGGCAGATAGTTTGGAGGGGGGAGGGAGTTCAGTGGGCATGTGATGCCGTACAGGCTGCCCTCCAAAGCTGCCTATTTCCTCCAGGGAAACGGATCTCTTTAGTCTGAAGATCAGTTCTAATTTGGGAGAACCCCAGGTCCCACTTTTAGGGTTGCAAAGTCCCCTCTGACCACCGGAGGGGGATGGGGGGTAGGGTTGCCAGATCCAGGTTGGGAAACTTCTGGAGATCTGGGGATGGAGCCTGGGGAGGACAGGGCCCTCAGTGGGGAGCAAGGCCACAGAGTCCACCCTCTCCGAAGCATCCATTTTCTCCAGAGGAACTGATCTCTGCAGTCTGGAGATGTGCTGTAATTCCGGGGGATCCCCAGGTCCCGCCTGGAGGCTGATGCAGTAGCCAAATTGCTTGCTCATAACTTTAATGCCAGTAGCTCACAAAGTAGACTTTTTGCTCACAAGACTCCACAGCTTAGAGGGAACATTGAACCCTAGTATGGGGAGTGCAGTTTGATAAGATGCAGAATATCAGTAAGGGCCCTGATGTATTTTATTTTATTTAAAAGATGTCACCTTTGGAGGGAGGATTTGGATTGGGGGGGGGGTCATAGTGCTGGAGCAGTGGAACGAACCCTTTCCCTCTTGTTTCTGTCTAGACAGAGGTTGCCCCTACCCAGGTGCTATTAGATCAACGGTGGGGGTGGGGGGAGGACGGACAGGCTGCCAAGATGTAATGATGTCGAGCCTGTGTGTTAAATATATATTAATATTTAATGCTGGGTTAATCAGTGCCTTATGAAAAAATTACCATCTCAGTAACTGATAGGGTTGACATCAGACAAAGATAAACTGGAGTCCTGTAGCACTTTAACTCATTTTTATTCTGGCATAAGATCTCATGAATTAGAGCCTGCTTTCTCAGATTGTGTAGGGGGTTCCAAACCAGGCAAAAATTATAACTGAGGTAAAAAAACAAAACAAAACCCAAACCCTACAGTAGAGTCAAAGGGTTGTGAAATACAGGAAAGACAAGGTGAGATGTAACGATTTACAATTCAAACGTGACGAACTACAAAAAGTACATGAGAGCAGTAGCTGAGCAGAAAGAGATCTCTAGTAGCCACATTAGGTAAAGGTTTCCCTTGCTCGAAAGCCAGTCGAATCCGGCTCTAGGGTTGCGGTGCTCATCTCCATTTCCAAGCCGAAGAGCCAGCGCTGTCCAAAGATGTTTCCGTGGTCATGTGGCCGGCATGACTAGACGCCAAGCCCCACGGAACGCTGTTACCTTCCCACCGAAGTGGTACCTATTTATCTACTTGCAATTTCTTGCCTTCGAACTGCTAGGTTGGCAGGAGCTGGAACCAGAGACGGGAGCTCACTCCATCATGCGGCGCACTCGGGTCTCGAACTGCTGAACTACCGACCTTCCAGCCTGCAGTTCTGTCTTAACCACTTGAGCCACCGCAGCCCTCAGTAGCCACATTAGTCACAAGCAAAATATGAAAACAAGCCATGGAATATCTTTCTTAGGCTCAACCAAAATGCCACAAAACAACAGGCAAGCTTTCGCGTTCTCCAGAACTCTTCATCAGGATGGATGTTAAAAACATTAAAAGGTGGGGCAGGGCTCAGGAGAAAAATATATTTTGGGCCATATAGACCTCTTTTTGCGTAGGCTATCCATAAAATGGCGTAGGCTATCCATAAAATGCTTAGCTTGCTTCAATCGTTCACAAGTTTCAAATAGTTTTGTTAAGCTAGTTAACTCCTATAACACACTGTAATGATTCTCCAGTCTTCTGGCTGATTTGATAGAAAAGGAATTGAAAGATAGTGTTTGCCTCCAGAAGGTGTCAAAATCTGACAGAAATTCTGCTTTTCAGAGTGACCCTGCTCCTTTCGTCTGCAAAGGCAACAGAAGCTGAAAGTTTGTAGTGGAAGACATATGGATTCCCCCCACCCCCCATGATTACTCATGGATGTTGAACTTGCTAATATTAGGAGAAATTCAAAATCCATGACTAATTATGAAAAAAATCCAGATTTTGGGGCGAAAAGTTTTTGAATTTGTTAATATTTGAAAAGCCTTGACCTGGATAGCCCAGACTAGCCTGATCTCATCAGATCTCAGAACAGTGGTGGCGAACTCAGGTCTATTTTTGGGCAGGAACGCACAGGAACGGAGTTCCGGCTGGCTCCCGAGTTGGCCACGCCCAGCAGGAGCTCATTAGCATAACAGGCCACACCCAACAGCAGAAACTCATTAGAATTGGCTACATTCGGGGTGTGTGGCCTAACATACGAAGTAGTTCCTGCTACAAAAAAAGGCCCTGGGTTTTGACAACAAACAAGGTAAACAGAATAAGAAGCAAAAGGTGGGTGTGGCTGGATGAGCACACTTCTGGTAACATGGGGGTGCGGCCTAATATGCTAATGAGCTGTGCTGTCAGGGGTGTGGCCTAATATGCTAATGAGTTTCTGCTGTTGGGTGTGGCCTATTATGCTAATGAGTTCCTGCTGGGCTTTTTCTACAAAAAGAGATTGGGATTTATATTGGGATATATATCCCGCCCTGGGCCGTACGGGTAGGGCGGGATATAAATCCCAATATAAATAAATAAATAAATAAATAGTATGAGAGATCCATTGCAGTCTAAAGCTTAATCTGTGAGATACTTTAGGAATGTTTACCTTGAGTAAAAAGGACTACCTGCATCTGGTCTAATTAGCTACGGGGTTTTGTTGTTGTTTTAAAAAAGAGACAGTGTGATATAGTGGTTAAAGACACAGTGTGGTATAGTCCCTCTAGGATCTGAAAGGTCCATGTTGTTTTATTTTATTTGGAAGTGTACACCCTGCTTCTCTGACAAATGGGGATCCAAAGGAGCTTACAACTTTGTTCTCCCCTCATCAATTTCATTTTAGATTTCCAGTCTGCCATGAAGCTCTCTTGGTGAGCTTGGGCCAGTCATTCTCTTGCAACAGGGTTATTGGGAGGATAACTATACACACACACACCCTCAGGTTTGTGGAGAAAGAGAGGGATGGAAATGTATTAGATAGATAAAATAACAACTAACGCAATATGGAACGTTATAGGATCAATTGCACTTTGGGGAATGCAGGAACAGTTCAAGGGCAGGTGTCAAAACAGTTAGGAGACCTAAACTCTCCATTTAGAGGCCCGTGTCCACCAAACCATCAATTCTGAAAAGATCATTTATGGGTAAGTAAAGTGTGCATGTTGTCAAATTATGCCTGGCCAAGTCATCAACACCCTGACCTGGACAACTCAGGCTAGCCTAATCTCATTATATATCCGAAGCTAAGACACCCCCACCCCAAAAGGAATACCAGGGTCATGACACAGAGGCAGGAAATGGCAAACCACCTCTGAATGTCTCTTGCCTTGAACACCCTACAGGGTTGCCGTTAAGTCAGCTGTGACTTGACGGCTAGCAACAACAACACAAAGTTATCAACAATATCTCAACATATCCCACTTCTGTTTGGGACTAGGGCGCAGGTCAGCCAGGTCAATGACCAATCAGGACTGAGCCCCAGTACTGCTGTTTTTAATGGTAGTCCCCATCACTGGTCCCGGAACCTATGAAAACATTCCCACTAATGTATCACGCCAGTGCATTTGATTTTGGCTTCCCTGAGTAGCCATACGTCATCCCGTTCCCCTCAATGGGCCAAAGCTACCACAATTTATTTACTCATTAAAATATGTATCCCCCACCTTGCCTCTTAGCTGAGGGCACCCTCTGTCCTACCCATCCACCTTGAAAGGCAGGTACGTGACAACTCCCACTTTTTGTTGTATGCCCCCATACTCCATTCTCCTATACTTGTCATGTGTGCTGGTAAATAGGGATTGGGGGGGGGAGGCTGATCCTGAGACAAGTGAAAAGTAGAATTCATCAAGAGCAGATCTCATCAGATCCCGGAAGCTAAGCAGGGTCGACTCTAGCAAGTACTTGGTTGGGAGACCTCCTTGGAATACCAGCAGTTGGGAGGTGGGGGCAGGCTTTATTCAGACATCTCTCTGAATATCTTCCAAGCCCCCAGTAGAGGTCAGTCACCAGAGGTCGCCATGACTTCCAGGTGCACACACACATGCACATATGAAAAAATACACACACAAAGAAGATGAAGAAGACAAGAGATTGGATTTATACCCCGCCCTTCACTTGGAGTCTCAGAGCGGCTTACAAAATCTTTTCCCTTCCCCTCCCCACAACAGACACCCTGTGGGGTAGGACGGGCTAAGAGAGCTCTTTCAAGAACTGCTCTTTCAAGGACAGCTCTGACAGAACTATGGCTTGCCCAAAGTCATCCAGCAGCTGCATCCAGAACCCGGTTCTCCCCAAAAAAGAGCATCTACTTCCTAGTCTGGTGATGGATTAATAAGTCGTATGGACAGCATAGAAGCTGTGGGGGAGGGAGAACCCCGGTGGGGTAAGCTGGGAGAGGGCTACCATCTCCCCCTCCCGTACCCAGGTCTCGGTCATGCACGCCAGGTCAACCTGTTGTTCTATGACAAAGTCCCGAAGGACTATTGTCTTCTTGTTAATAGACCTGGCGTTGCACAACACCAATGACGGAGGGGTTTTACTAATCCTCGCCCCACTGCCGACATCCTTTGGGATGGGTCGCGGGCTGGAAGGACACCGAGCCCTTTTATTTCTCAGGATCCTTCCTTTATCACTCCGCCTGATTGACCTGACGAATGAATCTACCAATGAGTTAAAAGCAAGACACTCATAATGAGTTAAACATTTATTTCCTCAGTAGGCCACATCCTAGTGGTGAGGTAAATAGCAGCCCCAGGGATGGGAGATGAACATACAGGAAGGGGCACCAGAGCACCTGGGGGGAGGGGGGCACCAAAGACCCAGTTTGAATTGGGGGCTCCCGTGGATAATACC